AAAAAATGCAATATGTATAAATAAAATCTAATTAATATTTATTGATTTACGCAATCTAAATTTAAATCAATTTCGATCTGACAATACAAATTAAAATTAATAATGAAAGAGAAACCACAATAAAACCAAGTACATCTCTGAAATATTTTTGAGCAAGATTAATATTTCTTTTTTTAGCTTTTTATAACACTAAATAAGATATTTATAATACCATAGGATTATTAAACAAATAAATTACTAATAAATTATTAATAGATGAAATCCATATTTTTAATGTAAAATACATAAGTTTAGATTAGATTATGACATAAGAACTTGTACAGTTGAATCTTCTCCCATTTTTCCTGTTCCAACCACGTCTCCATCAACCTCCCGACATCCCACTTTCTTATCCTTTCCCAAACCCTTCCTGTTTTCCCTTCACTCCCGCTACATTCCAAAAGCCTATCTTTAGGCTTCCTTCCTGTTCCTTCCCCTCCTCCTTTCTCCTGCATTCCTTTCTTCCCCCTCACCCTCTTTTTTCTCTCTTTCGCTCCTTTTTACTTTCCACACTCTACTCTCTCTGACTTCTTTCCCCCTTCCCCTCAGCCACACCACTCACTTTTCCTCCCTACTCTCCCTCTCTTCCCTCTTCTCTCCGCCCACCCTTCCCATAGTTTTTTCTCCCTCCTCACTACCTTTCCATTTTATTTTTCCGTCTCCCTCTCTTCTACTCTTTCCCTCTTCCTCTGTTCCTTTTTCTTCCCCCCCTCCTTCTTCTTGTTCCTCTTTCTCATTTTCCCATCCATCTGTCAGGACTTCTTTTTCCTCATCCCAACTCCACCACTTCCCCTCTATCCAAATTTTTCCGTACTTTACCCAAGCTCTCCTTCTATTCTTTCTCTCCTTCTCAGTTATCCTCTCCAGGCTCCATTACATTTTTCTTTCCTTCAAGGTCATGTCATCCTCTATTCTTTCCATCCTCCCTTTCCACACATTCTTTCTCTGCGTTACCTCTCTTTTTCTTACTCTATCTTTTAACCTAACTAAAACAATCTTCTTTTCTTTCCCCGTTTTTCTTCCTACCTCTTTTACCTCTTCTATTCCTTTCTCTAGCCTTATCTCTAGCCATAGCTTCTTTACCGCTTTCTTTAGCCTTCCTTTCACCAACTCCACCCTTTTCACTACTACATTGTTCCTCCTTCTGTCTCTCTCTTCTAACTCTCTCCACCTTTCTAGCTCTCTTACTTTCGCTTCCATTGCTTTATCTCTTCTTCCATCTTATCTCCCACTTTTCTTCCTCTTTCATTTCTCCCTGCCCTTCCTTCCTCCCATCTCTTCATCTCTTAATTAATATATTTAAATTTATATATTAGTTAACTTCTTTATATACACTACCGCTCATTAATTTCAATATACCCCTATATTTGTTAATTTCTCTGTAAAGGATGAACATGATACATATATTTTGTACAGAAATGAATAGATTTGCTGTTATACGCTTGCATGCATTGCATTTTTATATATTATTTATATAAAAATGCGATGCATGCAAGTGAAATGTTTATAACAGCTAGTGCATTCATTTCTGTGCAAAACACGTATCATGATGTTCATCCTTTACAGAGAAATCAACGAATCTTTTGCATATTGAAATTATTGAGCGGTAGTGTATATAAAGAAGTTAACTAATATATAAATTTAAATATATTTGCAATATATAATAAATATTTTTGTAATATATAATATTTTTTTCTATTGTTCCTTTTCTTGTCCTTCTTTCTTCGTTTTCTATCTCTATTACTTTCTTTCGTCTTAAAATACATTTTACTTTTTTATAAACAACTTAAGGTATCGATACAATAAATAATACTATAAAAGCTACATTTGGATGGAACGGTAATAATTTACACATCCTATTATACCTCTATAATTATGTTAAAATCATAATAGCGTAATGAAAACGATTCATAGGAATAAATGTGATAGTATTTATGAAATAAAATTAAGTATGAAATATACATTTAAGAAATATTACTTTAATGATTATATTATCTTACGTGTTATCAACATTCCATACAGGCAAAGCAAATAGATACTATGATATATAGGATACCTTTAAACAATTGTTTCATTTTCTAACATTTTTCAGATTTATTGTAATATAATCGTATAATCGTCATATTTATTTACACAGGAATACTAACGCAAAATTATTAGGACATTGTCACTACTAAAATTAAAAAATCAGATAAAGGGTTAGGTAATGTACATATTTTTAATTCACATATCTCTCATTTACTACCGATCATCATTTCACAATGATACATTTGCAACGAAATACCCAAAACGTATATCTGTAATCTAAACACAAGTTTTTATATTCTGGAAACGATACAAGTGTCTTAAAATACTTTTTACTTGTTTCTAAGCAGCATAAAATATCGATACTATCCAAATAGTATAAAAGCTACATTTGGATGGAACGATAACAATTTAGACACCCTACCTCTATAATTATGTTAAAATCGTCAGATATACTGTAATATAATCGCCATATTTTTTTACACAGATATACTAACGCAAATTATTCGGACATTTTCACTAAAAAATTAGATGAAGATAGTTTGTAATCAAACAAAGATACTGTTTAGTTAATGTACACATCTTTTTAATTCACATATCTTTCATTTACTACCGATCATCATTTCATAATGATGCATTTGCAACGAAATAGATATGTCAGCAACATTCGAAACCATCGACTGGAAAAATCATTCCTCTTGGTCTATTCGTTGTGACGGATAAAATCGTATAATTTCAGCACTCAGCAATGGATTCACTTCAATTGATGCGATTTTAAGACAGAGCTCAATTCAAAGAATCTTCGTTGTTACTAAATATGTTTACAAGGCCTGTGAATAGCGTTAATTTCCCTGCCATGCGCATATCTTTCTTTTTCGTGGCTGTATCCTGATTAGGCATCATCTTGTCCGCAATATGCTTATAGACTTTTCCATTCAGCATTAACGTAAAAAATAAAAAAGCCGTCGTACCATCTGAAATCGTTATATATAATTGTCTCGATATTATAATCAATTTTATAATAAGTGTTTCCTCTCCGATAGCATAAACAAAATTAATTTTAGGAAATCTAAATTATTTTATCTTTTTCTGAAGGTAGAATACAAAACAAAACTAAAAATCAAGTTCTTTTCAAATAATAGACAACTTGAATTAATTATATAATTAATGTTTATAAGAACAATTTTATATTACTTTTAAAAGGAATGTTTAGAACACTGATTACACTTACATTTTCTGGTTAGCGCTTATTTTATGACATGTTGTATTTTACAAATTTTACTTCCAAAACACAGAAAATACCTTCCAGTCTGTGATGACACCACGTATACGCCAACGAACCTGCACGGTATCGTTTTCAGAATGCATTGTGTAGGATGTCTTTAGGATGTCAAGCTTGACGTGTGCAAACTTCATATGACCAATGAACCTTAACAGTAGAAACCTTTGTCGTAGAAACCTTTCTTCGGATCAAACACGAGACCTTCAGCATACCCCGCAGCTTTCCTACGCGGGCCATCTAACATATATCTAACATTAGCACACCCAGTACACATAATAATTTCGTAATATAAAAACAATATATAAAAATATATTGAGATCTCACCATCGCCTCGCCCCTTCTTTTCAATTTTCTTATCCAGCGTTATGTAATCTTTCAAATTTAAAAGCATGTAACAACAGATATTTGTTTCTCTCCGCTCTTCCGCCTAATAGCATCCTTGATAAAATGTTACCTATATTCATTCAATTCACAAAATTTAATTATAATTGCATTATTATATTTTGTAAGTAAAATGAGAAATATAATAAAATGTACCTGCTAAACAAATAATTTGAAGCGCGAGCGATATAACATTGAGATCCATCCATCCTATAGTCATAATGTATTTTGCTTCTTTTAACGTCACATGCATTAGATTTAGCATTTTGTCCGCTGTATTGAAGAACGATGGAGTTTCTGCTGGCGTGATCTCTTTACATTCGTGTTCCTTCGTCTTTAATATCTAAATATTTTAAATATTTGTCAAAATTAAGTTGTTATGAACCCATCCATATTGAAGTCGGTTAAAAATAAATTATATTTAATTTTTTACCATAAAATTAAATTTTACACGTGACTGTTATGTCACATAGCAATTGATATATAAATATATTTTAAAAAATGCAAAAAACAATTAAAATTTAAAAAATTGCTCAAAAACTGAAAGAAAGATAGAACTGACTTCAAAAAAACTGTAAAAAATAAGAAAAAATTTAAAAAAATATATAAAAGTTCTATATTTTTTATTTTTTAGAGCTTTTTGAAGTCGGTTTTATTAAAAAATTTTTTTTTATTTTATACTTTTTTTAAGGAAAGAAACTTCCTCACCGATTTGGCTAAAATTTTAATTTTGTGTATTTTGGTGCGTAAAACATGAATAAATCTATAAGTTAAAATTGTCGTTCTCAATTAGATAAAAAATTATTAAGTACTAAAATTAATAGTTGCGTGGTTAGAGTGTCTATCATACTGACATGATATAGACGTACATGATCATGCGTAATGACGTAAAAGTACATGAAATTACAGTAATAATACAATATAACGGCAACCTGTCCTATAATAGTCTGACGCCTTGCACAATAGGCGATAGCGATGATGATAGTGACAGCGACAAAGTTGCCAACAAAGGTATAGCTTTGTCGGCAATTTTATCGTTGTCACTATCGCCTATTGTGCAAAGGGCTCTACTTCAATTATATGCTATTATTATACTTTGTATTTATGTAAACTTTTCAATGTACCAATTATTTTCTGCTTTAAAGAAAGCATAAACTCTATTTCTACTATCTTTTTTATCTATATAGTTAAGAAAGATTAATTTCTTTTAAAAAAAGGTATATATATATATATATATATATACCTTAGAAAAATAAACACGATCGTATTGCATATTTCCAAAATCTCCCCTCATATAATAGCGCAACTGCTTCTTCAGCATCATTTAGATATTCTTTTAATACTATAGCTGCATGTTTATATTTCCGCTCTGCTTTCAAACGTTCAACCAGTGTCTTATGAAGTTTGTATGAATTTGCTGGGCTGAAAAAATTAATTCTTATGTGTATAGAAGCATATGTAATTAATTCTAACGATGATAGGATAATATTCTTTCATGCATATACGAAAAAAAATTGTATATCTTTACCGTAGTTTCATCTCTTTTGATATTGCGATTATATCCTCCCAATTATCATTTAACATTCTAAATGTTTCTACAACTTTTTGTCAAGATCGCCACTTCTATAAAACCAGCTTCCACATATTTTCCTTCACTTGACAAAAATTCTCCATAAACTTCAGCCACCTTTTTATACTCTATAGTATTCTTCTCAAACAATTTTATTGCCGCCTGGTATAATTTATGACTACATATCAAATTTAATCATTCCTCAAACTTATTGTTAGTTGAATCTTTAGACAAATATTTTAACGCTAATTCGTAACGTTTAAGATGCATATTAATAGAATACTTCATGTAATTTGGGTCCAATTTTTTCAAATTATTCAAGAATGGAATATATTCTTTGGGATCTTCTTTCGATGATTCAAACGCTATAAACATTGCGAGTTCTAAATCATACATGCCTAATGAAACATCATATAACGTATCGATAGTGACGAAATGCAGTGAACACTTTAACGCTTCATAAGTGGATACGGTAGGATCATGTAACTCGGATCTCTGTGAATCCTCCAACATTTTCACTCGTTTTATTTTACTGAGTGTATTTTCCCAATCCTTGTCTTTGTTAATTTTTCACCAAGCTTATCAATATTGGTTGTATTAAGTTATCCGCAACTTGATATTTCTCCATGGCATCTCTTAATAATTTACAGATCTCGTCTACCTTATTAATTGTATTTTGTTACTTCTAGTGTCAGATTTGACAGGGCGATCCACATAACAAAACGCGTACATTGTACGGGTGACATCGACATTTTGTAATTCTGACAAAAACAGATTCAACCAATTTAACTTCTTATGCTGTACAAGATCTTCTAGGAACTTTTTCACATTATCCAGAAATAATTGTGGATCGTGGTCGTATGATAAATTCAAGTTTATACGTTGTTTAGTCATTATAGCAAGTGCCGTCAAATAATCACAGTTATTCAGGTAACATTTTACTATATGCACCGATAATGCCCTTGGCTGTATACATTCTAAATTTCCTCTAGGCAGCTATAAAATTATTTTTGAGTCGTACGGTATCGCCGTTATTATACGAGAACCTTTTTCGAGTCGTCTGATGTAGGTACCTGATGTATCTGTAACGATATATTTAAAGTCAGAAAAATATGCTATATACAAAAAAAAAATTATAAAAAGTATGTATTTACCCGCAAATAAAATCTCGTTCATATTTAAATCCCTGAGAGCTGGTTAGTTAAATCACGTTCATTTAGCTGCTTTATATTAACTTCGTTCAATAAGACACAAATCAATGTACATTGCAGTGTCGTAAGAAACAAAAAATCAGAATGTACGTAAAAACTTGTAATATTCTTAGCAATTTCTTTTCCGTCGACCAAGAAACTATTTTCCAGAAGACAGAGCAAGGATAATATCTCTTGATATCAATTCGTATAACTTCTATTTGATCACACTGTTCGTTTAACGTTATATTTGTCTGTTCAAGTTTTCCGTTTCTTGTGTATTTAAATATTTGATCTCTTACTTTTATGTAAGCTGTATTTGCATCGGGAGAAAAAACTACATGTTCTACTGGATAACCAAAACATAAAGTTTCCTGTAAAAAAATTCAAATTTAGACAGATATTATTTTTATACAAATCTAATGATTCTGGAATACCACATACCATATTTTCAGACAATCTTTAGAATACATACCATTTAGAGATAAAACACACAAGAGATTATGGTTGTAACTATAGAGAACAACATGATGTTCTCCGTAAACCATAAGAAATGTTGCATGAAGCAATCGTAGTCATCAATTTTTAATGCTTTATCTTTGATAACGTATAGCATGTCACAAGAAATACTACATACGTTTGCAGTTACATATGTCAATGTGGAAGCGTTCCACATTCAGGAACATCCTTTTCCTTTTTCAATAAAATCACAATGTCCATGTTGCCAGCAGAGACAGAGATCATTAAACCGTCCTCTTCCATAATTAGTCGTTATAATGCAGACAAAAAAACTTTTCCAAGAAGGCAAACGTATATAACTTTATAACTTAATGTGCCACGTTGATTTTTACGCACAGACTATGAAGAAGTTGTTGAATTTGTAAAAGTGCAGCAACCAAGTCATAAGAACGTTTCAACATTGCAATCCTTTGATTTATCTAATACTGATTTCGAGTTTGGTTAGACAAGCTGCAAATTAAAAAATCAATAAATAACATATAAACAGATTACTATATATAAATAATTATAACCACACGCACAATCTAAATATAAATGTAAATATATTAATAAATAAATTACCTTGACAATTTTCCTTCCATAATCCAGTCCTGATCGTAATAATATTTCTTAGACGGCCGTAGTCGATATGGATTTTGACATATGTAGCAAATGTATATTTCTCAGAAACATCCTTTTCCTTTTCAATAAAATTACAATGTCCATGTTGCCAACAGAGGCAGAGATCATTAAACCGTCTTCTTCCATAATTAGTCGTTATATGCAGACAAAAAAACTTTTCCAAGAAGGCAGACGTATATAACTTTATAACTTAAAGTGCCACGTTGATTTTTACGCACAGACAATAAAGAAGTTATTGAATTTGTAAAAGTGCAGCAACCAAGTCATAAGAACGCTTCAACATTGCAATCCTTTGATTTATCTTATACTGATTTCGAGTTAGGTTAGACAAGCTGCAAATTAAAAAATCAATAAATAACATATAAACA